TCCTCCTTCCTTCCTTTATTCCTGTACTGGGGTCTGAAGTCAGTGCCGCATTTGCTAAGCACACACTCCACCACGGAGCCACACCCAGCCCATACTTTTCTTTTGAGCCTGCAGTGTCTCATCCCTGAGATAATAACGAAATGCCCACGTGCCTGCATTGTTACGAGGCTCCCCTGAAGCTGTCACTCTGTGCTGGGCCCTTCCCGTGATGCTGTATGTTAGATCTGTGAGTGTCCCTGGTCCTCACAGTCACCCTGTTGTGTGGGGTCCAGCTTGCCTGGACTTGCGAGAGTAGATAGCTACGTTTTTAGGACATTTTATGAGCGGTTGTTAAACCTTTGCCAACTTGCAATTGGCCTTGTTGGAAGTATTTACACTACAGAAATTGACAAACACACAAATCAAAGCATTTCTTCCCTTCCCCTCCGTGAGCCAATTTGTCACCATGCCACTGCGTGTGTGTGTGTGTGTGTGTGTGTGTGTGTGTGTGTGTGTGTGTATGTGTATATGTGTGCGGTGTGTGTGCGCATGTATTCAACCCCTTTTATAGATGACGAGACCAAGGTTCACATAAGTTAAATTACTGTCCCAAGCCAACCAGCTTAGCAGGTGGCAGATCTGACCTCTGAATCCCACAGCCCACACCCCTGACCTCTATGCCATCCCATAAAAGACAAAACATGAAAAAGAATTTCATAAACAGCAAAGCTATATGAATATTACAGAGGTTGATACAGAAGAGAAAAATCCTTTCCTTTCTGTCTGTGTCTTGTTTACCCACACAAGATGCTCACAAGCTCTGACTGTGTCTCTCCTCCCTCCTCCCCACCCCCAGAGTTTTCTAGCCGCCTTGCTGGTGTAGGTGCGTTATTCTCAAAAAGTTATCTTCTCCCTGTTCATTTCTCCTGCGGCTCAGCATCCCGCTCGCTCGCCTTTGTTTACCATCCGCCTTCCGGAATCCGCCTCTGCTGTTTCCCATTTCACTTTCCAGCCCGCCCCCATCCTGGCAGTGAGGAAGTCAGAATAGAAGCCGCCTGTTGCCACCCCCTTTTATCAGAATCTGAGCCCAGAACCAGCCGCGCTCCACCAGTCTGCAACAATTACTGGTGCTCCTCCTTCGCGGGTGACAGAGGGGCCAGACGCCCCATCCTGCGATCGCTTCCCTTGTTCTCTGACACCCTCGAGAAACGACACGTTCCATTTGATGGTCGTCACAAATAACATGCTTAAGAAACCTGGAATTATAAAACTGCTTAATTAGGGAGAGATGGTTTCACGGGGATATGCCCAGTTTTCTCTGGTGGTTTGATCTCCTTCTCGGAGTGGCCCGCCCTACTCCAGCAACTAATTGCTACTTTAACATGGTGCCACATAGACGCTCTCTCTTTTAATTTTATTTTCTGTAACATCAGTGCTTGCTGATAAAATGGAGTTCTCTTCAATATTCCAGCTCTCCTTTGTCAGCAGCAAGCTCTGAAAAATTAACATGAGGAGTAAGGATGGAGTCTTCTGCCTCAGGAGGCCTCAGCTATTAAGTGAGCACCTGCTGTGGGCTAGATGCTGGGGACATGCCCAGAACCAAATGGTCTCTGGGCTTCTGGTCCATTGGAGAGCAGAGTAAAATAAATGTTTAAATGTCATGAGAAATCCTCTGAAGGAAGAAGAGAGAAGCAAGGGAGTATCACCGGACGAAAAAAGAGGGGAAGGAAGGAAAGATGGATGAATGGGTGGATGAACAAATAAACAGATGAACAAATGGCCAGGTGTGAGGAAAGAAGGGGACAAACGGGGGAAATTCCAGGTGTCCACTGAATTCAGAGAGGGGTGGCAGCAGCAGGTGAAGGCTAGACATTAGAGAGTCGGTGGTTGGTCCAGGATGAAGTAGAACATGAATACTCACCGAGGTGAAATCAATTTGGGAGAAATGAAGAAATGGGGTGGCCAAAATTGAGTGATTCTGAAGTACAAAGTGCAAAACATGGTGGCTCTATAGAACTGGGGCCTATTGCCAGGTGGTGGACAAGGTTTGGCCACCCCTGTCCTCCATGGAGCTGCTATAGCATTGGACCAGTATCCATCACACCAGTGGCCATGAAAAACCAACATGGCAGCCACTGCACACGTCTGTGTCCCTTCATCACCTCACCTCCCAGAAATTCCAGGAGGAAATAAGCATTTCCCTCAAGGGGTGTTTCTGGGTATGAGGGACTTTCAGGAGTCGGGAGGGCTAAGGAAGTCCCTTTGGGAAACAGTGACCTCACAACAGGGGGACAGTGCAATGGTCACAGAGGTGGAGGGGAGTGGGTGAGGGGATGTCCTCACTGACTGTTGGCAGATATGGGCACATCTGCTTTAAAGGTGCCCTTCTGAGTGGCCTGTGTCAGGCCCCCAAGACGGAGGTAGGAGCTGTAGCCACATGCCACACGCCATCTATTTGGCAAATAGCATGTTCGATGGCCTTTTTCTGTCTAACTTGAGTAAATAACATGCTTTGTCCAAAAAAATTAGAAAAGAGAGAAAAACACAATGAGTGTGTTTTTGCATTCACCATTTTTTTCCCACTTGGAACTATAAAATGAGCATTTCTAGATAAACTTTACCAGGATGATTTAGTCTTTCCTCCCTCCCTCCCTTCCTTCCTTCCTTCCTTCCTTCCTTCTTTACTTCCTTCCTTCCTTCCTGCCTGCCTGCTTGTGTGCAGTACTGGGAATTGAACCCAGGGAGTACTGGGATACCCTCTTCCTGCCCTTTTAAAAAATATTTTAACATTCTTATATTGAGACAGACTCTCACTAAGTTGCCCAACCTGGCTTTGAACTGGAGATCTTCTTGCTTCAGCCTCCAGAGTAGCTGGGATTACAAGATGTGCCACCACCTCTGACTTCTTTTTAAACTTTAATTTTGGAATAATTTTACACTTAAAGAGAGCGCTGTGTTTGGAGTTGGCAGACACGGCAGCTTCCCCCAGCTTCCCCTAATGTTAACGTGTGATGTAATCATAGATGAAGCCAGGAAATTAACACGGATGCTGTTACTATGAACCGAACCCCAGCCTTAATTCAGATGTTGCCGGTCACCCCACTAACATCTCTGTCCAATCCAGGGTCGAGCCCAAGGTCCCACTTTGCGTTCACTTGCCACGTTCCCTTAGTCTGGTGCCACCCGGCCATCTGTTGGTCTTTCTTTCACTCTGACCCAACATAATTTTGAGAGTGCTGAGCTGTTATTCATGGGCTTCATCAGGATTTGTCTCTGGCTTTCTGATGCTGGACTGAGGTTCTGAGGTTTTGGTCAGGATGTCACCAGAGTGATGCTGTGTTCTTCTCTCTAGTGTACCAGAAAGTTTTAGGATGTTGCTGTGACTTATTTTGAAGACTTTAACCTGGATCACCTAGTTAATGGGGTGTGCAGTTGATATGGTATATGTTTATTTTCTTGCTGTTTCGGAGGATAATATTTTAAAGACTGTGTGGCTCTCCATTCTAGGTCTCTAACCTAAACACGCCTTCTTTTTCATACATTTAATCTGTGTCTTTCTGTGTCGTTATAAAGAACACCGCAGAGGCCTCTCCTATTGGCACGTTTGCACGTATCCCTAATTATTTTATTAGTAGGATCACTGGAGCAAAAAATTACTCACATTTTTAAGGTTGTGGATGCCAAGGGCAGGGTTACATTTTTGTGTATTTCTTCGTTTTCTTCAGCTTTATAATGGTAGCACTTACACATAATAAAATGCACAGATTTGGAACAGAGAGTTCAGTGAGTTTTGGCAGATGCGCAAACCGATGTAATCACCATCACAATCGAGATGCAGAATTTTTCTGTCACCTCCCCAATTCCCTGCATTGCGTCTTCCCACCCTTCACCCCAGGAGATCACCAATCTGTTTTCTCTCGCTCTATGTTAGTTTTTGCCTATTCTTGGTCTCCAGAATAACACAATATATAGTCTTTTACAACTGTCTTCTTTGATTTGACATAACGTCTGTGAGATTCATCCACATTCCTGCAAATACTGGCCATTTGTTGATTATTATTGCTGAGTAGTATCCTATTGCATAAATATTGCCAGGATTTGTTTATCCATTCTTGCTGTGATGGACGTTTGGGCTGTTTCCAGTTCGAGGATCTTATGAATAAAACTGCTAAGAACATTTCCATACATGTGGACATGTGTTTCCATTTCTCTGGGGTAAATACCTCAGCATGGAATTACAGAGTCACGAGGCAGGTTTATGTTGACCTGTATTAGACACGACAGGTTGGGGTTATTCTGAGCTCCATTTTCCAGCACCAGCGGCGGGAAGCTTGCAGGACTTATCTAAGGGCAAGGGGAGAAGTGGAGTACAGTAGATCTTGGGGTCAAGCACAATGCTGGGTGCATCTCTGTTCATCTGCTCCAGTTCCCCAGAGCAACCTCACTGTGGGGAGAAGGGGTCCAATTCTGTAGGAGAGAAAGCTGAGCTCACAGATGTACAGCTAAAGGGGAGGCACCTCCTTCTCCCCAGCCCGCCTCCTGGAGACAGCAGGTAGTGCGTCTCCCGGCTCTTAACCTCCTGGCCTGTGTTACCTGTTCCAGTGCCCTCCTGGCCAGGCCCCTGGAGGGAGTCACCTGCGGTACAACTGTCTAGGAGGCTTTTCCAGAGAGGCAGAGGCTGTCCCCCCATATTTCACTTTGAGTCCTCCAAGCCTCTGCAAGAACCAGAGAGTGACCACACTCCAGCCCTGGCCCACAAGTGTAGGGTTTCTCCCTCCCTGAAACCTGATCCTGGGTGTTTTGATCTTCTGGACTGGTGGGTGTTGGGTGAGGGCACTGGGCAGGGGCCGTGTCTCCCTGGCCATATCGGGCCCCATTAAAGCTGGCCTGAGTGCTTTCCAAAGCTGATTAATGGCCTGCCTGTGACCTGGAATGTCATTACTGCTGGGCTGAGGGCCCCCCAGCTTGGTCCTTTGGGTCTTTACTGCTAATAATAATTGATGTTCTTTGTGTGGTTGCAGGGAAAGTTCTATCTGGTCATCGAGGAGCTGAGCCAGCTGTTCCGATCGCTTGTCCCCATCCAGCTGTGGTACAAATACATCATGGGTGATGACTCCTCCAACAGCTATTTCCTGGGAGGGGTCCTGATCATCCTCTACAGTCTCTGCAAGGTGAAGGGACCCTGGGGCTGGAGAGCTGGCCAGAGGGAGGCTGTGTTCCCAGACCAGGCCCAGGATAATCATGGCATAATCATTTCTGTTCTCTTTCCTTTCCTCTTTTGTTTCTTTTTTAAGACAACTTCTTAAGTTTCCCTGGCTGACCTGGAGCTTTCAATGCTCCTGCCTCAGCCTTCCGGGCTAATTCCCTTTATTTGCAAACTGGGATAAAATTTCACACAATGTAAAATTAACTGCCAACCATTTTGAAGCGTGCAACTCTGGCACTTAGCAGGGTCACAGTGTCATGCATCTACCACCTCTACCCAGTTCTAAGACATGTTCATCACCCTAAAAAGAAAGCTGGCACCCCTAAAGCAGTCAGTCCCTCACTTCACCACGCTCCCTTCCCCCAGCTCCTGACAGCCACTAATCTGCTTTCTGTCTTCTGAATTCACCTGTCTTGGATGCTTCAGATATCTTTTATTGGTGTCTGGCTTCTTTTACATACCGTTTCTGAGGTTCATCCGCACTGCAGCAGATGTCAGTACTTTCTATGGCTGAGTGCACCTCGGGTTCTTGCCTACGAAGCTCACCATATGCCGCCCTTTCACAGCCGTCCAACGCTTGCCATTACCACTCCCATTTTGTAGGTGCAGAAACTGAGGCTTACAGAGATGAAGTTACTTGCCCGAAGTCAGAAATAACAGCAATCGTCAAACCCCATCACGCTGCCTCCGAAGCCCAGAGCTCTTCACCACCTTGCCATTGAGAGTTTTTCCTCTTTCTTATTTCCAAAATATCCTCCCTCTCAAGTTGCACACCCTCAACTTCTCAAGTCAGTGTGCAGTGCTTTCCTCCTGATTATTAATATAAATCAGGGTTTTTTTTTCCCAAAACAATAAACCCATTCTCCTTGTCTTGTTTCATATTCTCTATCTGGCTTTAGAAGGCTATGAAGGAATGTGTATGTTGTCTTTCCTTTCTCCCAGCAGAACTAGCCAGGATCCGTGCAGTGTCAGGCATGGGGCCTGACCCTGTTGGCAACTCTCATTGACTGGGTGTGGCAAGGCGGACTTTGGCTAGACTCAGAGGAAGGGTGCTGTGATTGATTAGCAATGCCTGCCCTGGGTTGGGAAGGGGAAAGTGCACTACGTGTGCTGTTTACTTGCTTTCCTGGCCTAGGCTGAAGGGGAGACTTTTGATACTGGGCAGCAACACAAAAACCAAGCTAAAGTAATGTAAATGGGAGGAAGTTTACTGCTATTCTGAGTCAAAGACAGGGGCGAGATCTGCCAGGGAGATTGTTCAGGGGTCATGGAAGATCTGGACACTTTTCAGCCTTCATTCTGCTCTCCTTTCAGTCATTTGACATCTGTGGCCGTGTGGGTGGAGTCCGAAAGGCCCTAAAGCTTCTCTGCACCTCTCAGGTGAGTTGGTCCCAGTTAGTCCTGACCGAGGTCCCCAGAACTGGGAGCTGAAATGGCAGCAGCTCTTGCTTACCCCTCAGACCTCACAGGGCTCCTGAGCTCATTCATGACTCTCCTTGTCTCCCAAACTCAAACAGAATTATGGTGTCCGAGCCACCGGGCAGCAGTGTACTGAAGCCGGAGATATCTGTGCCATCTGCCAGGCCGAGTTCCGAGAACCTCTGATTCTCCTGTGCCAGGTAAGCAAGACTGCACTTCCGTAGACCCAGGTTCAAATCTAAGCCCTGCCTCTTACTTTCTGGGTGGTCCTGGGCAGGTACTTCACCTCTCTGAGCCTCAGTGTCATCTGTAAAATGTAGAAATGCCAGATTCCTTGTGATGTAGTGTCACAATCCCCTAAGCACAACCCCAGCTCTATGCTTTTGTTTGTTTGTTTTTTTCTTTTTCGTTTTTATCGGTACCAGGGATCGAACTCACGACTGCCTGCTTGTAAGGCAGGCGCTTATGCTGCTGAGCTAAATCCCCAGACCCACCAGCTCTATTCTTGATCCTCCATCTCCCCTTGCCATTTTAAAATGATCATGATAATACCTGTTTCTCTGAGCTGTAAGCATGCTTTAGAAGACTGCCTATGGAAAGAGCTAAATTTGAATTATTCAGCCATAGAAGTTGCTAGTATTATATTTATGATTATAGGTACAATCATTATTGCTATTTGTTTTCATATTTGTCAAGGGTCACCAAGGCATGGTGGTAAGTGGTGGTCAGTCCCTCTTAACTCCCTAAATGGGTCCCTCCTCCCCGCTCCTGACATCAGGGGCTGGGTGTCAGTTCAGCAGATGTGCATTGGGTCAAAGCATCCTATTAGACACCGAGAGGGGAAGCAGGGGGCGCACAGAGCCTGTCCTCTCCTCTGGAAGCTGGTGGCCTCCTTGGGGAGACAGACACATACATAAATAACCATGAAACAAGGCAGGCGGTGATAAGTGCTGTGTAACAGAGATTCATGCAGGGTCCCAGGGGACCAGGGCAGAGCGCTGCATTCCAGGCTGGGGAGAATTTGGGGAGGAGGCATCAGCCTGGGGCCCAGAAGGAATGGAAAGACAGATGGCCCAACCAACACCCCCGAAAGAGGGGACAGGAGGTGGGGGCCTCTTTAAGCATTCAGAAAATATTGGTTGGGAGTTTTAGAAGAGTTTGTTTGTAATTCAGACTTCAATTTTCTTTCTTTTAAAATTGATCCTCAGTTTATGGAAGTCAAAATTGAAAAAGGAGACTAAGGCTACTGGCAACTAAATGTGGTACGGGCTCTGGAACAGGGAAGGACATTCAAAGCACTGGCCGGGTGAAATCTTAACCACGCCCTGGGACTAGTTGGTAGTAAGGCATCGTGTGGGTTTCTTAGCCTTGATAAATGTACTGCAGAAATACAAAATGGTAATGTTAGGAGAAACTGAAACAGAGCCATAGGTATATGGAGATTTTCTGTTCGGTCTTTGCTAATCTTCAGTAAGCCTAAAATTATTCCAAAATAAAAAGTTTGTTTTTAAAAAATTGTAGTACATATGAAGGACGGAAGAGGCCTCCTCCCTTTGCCCACCAGATCCCTAATCCTCCATCTTCCCACCTGAGCAACCAGTGTGAACAGATTCCTATCTTTCCAGAAATGCTTTCTAGATTTTAGACAGGTATAAACATATACGTACAGCACACACGTCTATGTACATGTACATACAAATGCACAGAAGACATACACACAGAAATTTCTCTTCTTAAAAAAATAAAAAAGCATGAACTGAAGCATATTCTACCCAAGCTGCTTTCCACGCCTTTTTAAACTTGCAACTCAGTGTTAGAGATGCACCTTGTTTGTTTTTACAGTTGGATGGCATGCCATTTCATGGTTAGAGCTTTAAAATTTTCAGTATTGGGATTCGACCCAGGGCTTTTGCATGGGGCTCTTTTGCTCCCAAGCTCTTTTATTTTTTATATTTTATTTTTTATTTTGAGACAAGGTCTTGATAAATTGCCCCAGTTGGGCCTGAACTTGGGAACACCCCCCCCCCGCCTCAGCTTCCCAGAGGGCTGGCGTTCCACACGTGCCACCATGCCCAGCTTAGCCATTTCCCTATCAAGAGGCATTTAGTAGTTTATAGTCCTCTGTCGTTATAAAGACGGTTGCCATGAAGACTCTGAAACGTGGAGATCAGTCACATCTACCTAAAAGCACTGTGCTGATTAAGTGAATTAATTTGAGTGAAGCATTTAAAGCTACACTGGGCACGTGATGAGAGTTCAATACACACTAGGTCTTTGGGGCATGCATTCCATCTCACCCACGCGGGAGCTCCTGGTAGGACAGATTCCGAGCCGAGGGATTAGGGGGTCAGAGGGCGTAGAATTTTGATGGAGAGGATCCACTTACATTCCCAGTGTGGAGTGTGACCCGGCCTCCTGCTCCCTCCTGCACCGGCAGTGTTGTGAAGCCTTTTTGAGCTTTGCCAATCTGACAGGTGACAAACGCTATCTCAGCACAGATTTAATTTGCATTTTCCTAATTATGAGCATGGCTGAGCATCTTTCATATGCTTTGGAGCCATCTGTATTTCCTTCTCGGCTGCAGAGATTATTGGAATATGATGTCAAGGTGAAATCTTTCTTCTCTGCTGCTGTCTCTCTACGCCTCAGTCTCAGTCTGCTCGTCTCTCTTCTTCTCTGTCCCACTGTGGCTTTGCATACCTGGGTTTAGAAATCCTTGGGAGGAATCAGACAAAACACTATTGTCCCAGATGGAGGAGAGGCAGCCACACCCAGTGGCGGTTGACAAACACCTGACCATCACCAGGCCGAGCCGTTCCTCAGCGTTTCCCTGCCACAGGGGCTGACTTGCACAGGTGAAAGGAGCGTGCCGACTTCTGAATGCACTGAGCAAAGGAACGAACGAATGAATGCTTCAGCTCAAGTGTTACTCCATTGTTAAGTTTCCCCCAACCCTGTTTCTCCAGACTAGTCTTGGTCCAGCTACCATAGTTTCATCCATGGCTGGGATCTTTATTCATGGCACTTTCCCCAGTTGTTATCTAAATAGTTTATGGGGGAGCTAAATCATGCAAAGCCTGTCTCCCTCTGCCACATGACCAGCATCTCAAAAGTGGACACCATGTCTCTATTATTTGGAAGCAGAACCAGTATTTAATGGATGGATAAATGGGTGGACTAGATTGAAGTGGATTCGATTGGATGGATGGATGGATGGATGGATGGATGGATGGATGGATAGACAGAAGGATGGGTAGTAGATATATGGATGGGAGGATAGATGAATGCATGGTATGGACAGATGGAAAGATGATTGGATGGATGGATGGATGGATGGATGGACCAACAGGATAGACTGGAGGATTGATGGAAAGAAGGATGGGTAAATGGATGGATGGAAGGATGGACAGATGGATGGATGGATGGATGGATGGAAGGATGGACAGATGGATGGATGGAAGGGAGGATGGACAAAGGGATGGATGGATGGGGTGAATGGACAGACAAATGGGATGGGTAGGATGGTACCAAGGAAGAGGTGTGGGTGGGTGAATAACTGGGTGGGTGACTGTGTACATAGGTAAGTGGATGGACAGATGGATGGTTAAATAGAAGAATAGAATGGGTGGGTGAATGTGACTGGATGGATAGATGGGTGAACATACGGATAAGTGGATGGTGCAGGACTCACAAGGCTAAGGAACATCTTGTTCCCTCTTCTAAGAGTTACCCAGTGAAGTGCAGTGAGTCACTTCTTCTGCCCCACCACACCTCCTGAGCTAGGACCTGGGACACAGATCGCCGCTGCTCAGCAGACTGAACATGTTCGGAGGCTTGGACTCTGTTCAGACACTTGTCCACTTAGTCTCTGGATGATGGCTTGCTCCTGCCAAGCTGTAAGAGGGAAGGGCTTAGGGAAAGGTCATTTCCAACAGAGCCAAAGCCCAGTCTGTACAGGGGACTCTTTTGTTAACAAGAGTGAGGCTGCATGTAGAGAACAGGCCGCCCTCAATTCCTGCTCACTATGAGCTTGAGTTTTTCCGAGTATTAGATGGTATAAATATTTGAAAAGACAGCAAGAAGATGGTGACGCCTATTGATTTGTACTTAAAAGTTGCTCACACACTATTTGGGTTCGCAACTGTATCTGTCTCCACTCTCACAGACACCCTGCAGGGTGGCACTTTCTCTAACTGAGAAGGCAGTGCAGGCTCAGCAAGGCAAAGGAGCGTATTTGCCTGCGATCCTGTTTTCCTCATGACAGAATCAGCATTCAAACGCAGGGCCTCTAATGTCACTGCCAGTTCCGTTTTCACAAGGCTGGTCCTCACAGGGCTTGCTTTGAGGTGTCCGAAAGGCTATGTTAAAAGATAAAGAGTCAGGCATGGTGGTTCACACTTATAATTCCAGCACTCTGGGAGGCGGAGGCAGGAAGATACGCTTGAGGCCAGCTTGGGCATCTTAGTGAGAACTTGTCTTTGAAAATAAAGACTGAAGGATATAGCTCAGGATTCCTGGGTTCAATCCCCAGCACCGAAAAAGAAAAAACACCAGAGCCCTTTCCCCAGAAGTGCGTGGGACGTGCCTTGCTGTCCAGCACGGCTGTGCTGTGTGTACGGCTTCCTCGAAGTCAATGCATGGTGCAGCAGGGTCGCAGCTCAAACCACCGCTTCCTCCTCCTCCGCCTCTTCCCTTATGCCCCACGCACTGCTTGACAGCCCTGAGGAACGCTTTCATTGGAACACGGACTGCCCATGTCACTGTCACCCAAGAGCAAAAATGACCATCCCCCAGACAGCCTGCAGGTTTATAATACAGTTGTGTGTGATATGTTGTTTGTGGGTGCCACTGAGGACTGAACCCAGGGCCTTCACGCTGAGCTACATTCCCCAGCCTTTTATTTATTTGTTTGTTCAGATAGAGTCTCACAAAGTTGCTGAGTTGCTCAAGCTGGGTCTGAACATGCAATCCTCCTGTCTCAGCCTCCCAGAATGGCGGGAATGTTACAGGCATGCACCATCTATGTATGTGTTTTGAAAAGCATGTTGTGCTGTATCGATATTCAGTTTTAGTGGTTAGCTCTAAGTCTGGAGATGGATCGCCTGGTTTGTGTGTGTGGTTAATGAGGATATTTGGCTATAGGTGTATGCGTGTGTGTGCATGCGTGTGTGTGTCCTGTCTGGTAGTAGCAAGTTTCAGTGATGTCATTTTTCATAATCTGTTACAGGAGAACCCATATCAAACCAAATGGAAGACTCTTTGCACCAAGGAATCTAGAAGGCAACTTGCTTGTTATGCTAGCAGGCTAGTGGGACCAAGTCCAAATCTCTAGCAAAGAACCAGCTTTGAGTTTAGTTTAAATATAGTTTACAAGCAGGAAGCACAAGGCATTCCATGATTGGTTACATAGACTGAATTAAGTCATTTACTGCAGGGAAACTAACTCTAAATATATTTGCTTACAAGGAACTGTTTTTTATAACGTAGGAACATCCTTGAGATGAGGGGAGGCGCTTCAAGTGGAGCGAGCAGAGTCAAAAAGCGTCTTTAACTGGGTTACTTTGCTGCAGCCCAAGTCCTTGAAGCCAGTGAGAAGCAGTCTGTTTTCTTAATGAAGGGAAACATAAGCTGAGAGCAGTCAAAGTGGCCCAGCGCATTATCAGAAGAAAAGCAGCTGGACCCAGGCAGTCAAGGCTGACTCAGTTCAGCAGGGTGCTTACGTGACAGGCAGCAGGAGCACAGGCAGAGGCTGCTACTTGATTTTAACTTGCTATAACATGTCTGTAAGTTTGTTATTCTGTCACCGTGTCTTTATTAATCATTTAATTATGCCCTAACAATCAAGTGCTTCAAACCTCTCTTCCTACAAGCTGCCTATCTGCCCACTATACATAATAGAACATAGTGGACAAGAGTTTTGGCTATAGAGTCAGGCATTTTTTTTTGTATTGGTTATTCATTGCTGCATAACAAACTATCCCAAAACATAGCTTCTTCAACATTTATAACCTCAGAATTCTGTGGACCAAGAATCCAGGCATGGTCACTGGGCATGGTGGTACACACCTGTATACATCCCAGCATTCTGGGAGGCTGGGGTAGGAGGATTGTATACTCAAGCCCAACCGGGACAAGTTAGCAAGAATTTCCTCCCAGCTCACCCCTCAAAAAAAGGAAAGAGAAGAATCCCCCATTTTGCATGCACACTTGGGTCTCCCATGAGGGGCTGACTGTTCATGGAGTCTCTTTTCTTGGCCCAGACTTTTCCTGCATGCTCTTAATCTTTGGGCAGACAGAGTGAGCTCGGGTGAGAGGTAGGTGGGAGGGGGTAGCCGGTCCAACCCCAGGGTCTCTCTCCTTGCCCAGCAGTCTGGAAGACACCACCAGGGATCATGTAACCCAGCATCCTGCATTTCCTGCCCACTGACCCACCTGACCCTGCACATGCTGCCTGGTCTGGGCCCGCCCCACTGTCCATGCGGGAGGGATGCAGGGCCCCCAGAGGGTCTGGGGACCCTGAGTGAATCAGGGTACCTCGTGAGTCTCCCCTGGGTGAGTGTTGATTTCTACACAACACTGATAGAAGCCCCAGGGACAGGACAGGCAGTGGGAGGCAGGGACAACTGTGGCTGGCTTTGTGGGATTTGCCACCCAGAGGGCAGCGCAGGGGTCCATGAGAAAGGAATTTGAACAGGGCTTCTCCAAGTGTGGGCAGGGTACTCGGGGATTCTTTTCAAGGGACCTATGAGATCAAAACTGCTTTTATAATAGTATCGAGACATCATTTGCTTTTTTTCCACTATAATTCTGTCATGCACGCACTATGGAGACTCCCAGAGGTGCCGTGACCTGTGATGAGGTCATTCCTCTGGTTGCTAACAGACCATACGCTGTGTATCCATCCCTGAGTTTAAAAAGTGTTGCATCGTCCACTTCTAATATGGTAAATAGATTTAAGTCACGTGAACAAAGCTCATTGAGGTCATCAGTGATTTTTACAAATTTAAAGGGGTCTTTGAACCAAAACTTTTGAGATGTGTTGAATTAGAAGTCTGAAAAGTCAAGCATGGTGGTGTGAGCCAGTAGTGCCCTCTTTTTTTTTGGTACCAAAGATCAAACTCATGACCATATGCTTGCCAGGCAGGTACTATGCCTCTGAGCTATATTCCCAGCCAGTAGTTCCTTCTGTATAGGAGGCTGAGGCAGGAAGATTTCTTAAGCCTAGAAATTCAAGACCAGCTCAGATGACAGCAAAACCCATCTCAGAAACAACAAAACAGCAGAGATTCTTCATGAATATGTGTTGCATGAGTGGGTAAAAGACAAGGTACATCCTGACAGCTACCACAGCCTGAAACAATCCTGTCTCATTAGCTTAACACAAGTTGAGAACCTCATGTGGCCCAGGGGCGAGTCACGTTCTGCTGTGTAAGTACCCATTTCCAGGGCAGCACCATGAAGGCTCCCTCATTCAACAACCACTGGCAGATTAAAACCGGCCCCAGACATCAGAAAAGTTATCTGAGTGACGGGTATTTGAGTCTTCAGATCACAGGGGAAGTGAGAGTGGATGTGGGCCATGGGGTCTGCAGCAGCAGGAGAGGGGTGGGAGGCAGGAGGGCACAGTCAGAGGGCACATTAGCAGGGGACAGCGGAGGGCTGGGCTCAGGGAGACATCACAGCAGGGGAGGCTTCCTGCCCTGCAGACCCAGATGGGAACCAGGTGTGGCCCCCCAGGGCTCTGCATGGGCTGCTGTCCCCTCCTCCCGCCCACCCCGTCCACTTCCTGCATGCTGCCCTTGCCCATCACTGAGTGCCTCAGGGGGCCGTCACCCCAGGAGCTTCTTTCAAGCTGTCTCCTACAGCCTGGAATGGTCCTCCTCCCCCCCTCCTCTCTTCACCCCTTAACCCCAGGCTTTAATTCAAGTGTCCCCACCTCCAGGAAGCCTCCTCTGATGACCTCCCAGGTCAGACTGGCCATCCCTCTGTTGCACTCCACCCCGTAGCACCACAGTGAGCTCCTTAGCACGATTCTCTCTGCTATTAGGCGCCTGCTGTATACCGTGCTGGGAATAGATTTGCAAGAGGCTTAGAGCTGGGCGTGGAGAGACTGATACTACCTATGAGGTGGACACAAGGTGGTCACCATTACTCATAGCCGACGCAGTGTACTTAGTGTTTGCTAGACATTTTTTCAAGTGTCTTCCTTTTTTAATTTTTTTTTATCTTTCAGAAAACACTCTGGTGTTTTTTTTTTTTTTTTAATGTAATCATTCTGCCCAAACTCTTTATTTTGGAAAATTTCAAGCCTACAGATATGTTGAAGTCTAGTAGGAGGAGAAACATCCTTCTATTCTTAACTATTCGCGAATCACAGATTTGCTCATCCTTAACACGTTGCCACGTTGGCCCCTTTTTGATACAGATTTTTTTTCTTGAGGCAGTTTCGGGAGTAAGTTGCAGGCATTGTAATTCTTTACCCCCAAAATACTTCAGCATGCATCATCCAAGAATAACTACAACTTCCATCAGGAAATTTAAATAATATAGTATTGTCTAATATGCGGTCATAGATCGGAATGATTCCAGTTGCCTGCAAAATAAGCCTTTAAAACTAGGGCTTTTCTCCCCTCCGGGGTGCAGCCAAGCAGCATGGATGCATTTGACTGTCACGACTAAGTGGTTTTAAAATATTAGCCAAACATTTTAAGAGGGGCTTACTATCTCTGTTTTACAGACGAGGAAACTGAGAGGTGAGGGAGGTTAAGTTACTTGTCCAGGTTGTGTGGTCTGACACTGGGAAGACCTGCTGGTCTTCATTATCTCCCTGCCTTTCACTTGACTCCTGTGTTGTACTCCTCACCCACCAGGCAAGTGGCTCTTTTTAAGCTGCAAATCATATTGGGTCACTCCTCTGCTCAAACCTCTGTCATGGCTCCCTGCTTTTCTGAGGATAAAAGCCAGAGTCCTCCCAATGACCAACACGGCACAATCCCATCAGCTCTCTGGCCTCATCGCCCTCTCTGACCACATAATCCTCCTGTCCAGCCACCCTCTCCCTGCTGTTCTCTCAGCACACCAGGCACATGCTGGCCTCAGGGCCTTTGCACATGCTATCCTTGCCTGGCACTACTGTTCCCTAGTTATTATCAGGTCTTATCTCCTTTAAGAATTACTCAGGGCCTGGAGGTGTAGTGCAGCTCTGTAGCAGAGTGATGTTTAGCATACATGAGGCCTTGAGTCTGATCCCAGATACTCCCTCTGTCCCACCCCCCAATACCAGCGTCTCAGTGAAGGTCTGCAGGCCGCCTCCCTGCCCTTTCATCCTAGCCCTGGCTGCTGACATCCTGTGTGTTTTTCATGGTGCCAATCGCTGTGGCCCCACCACAGCGCCAGCTGGGGAGGGCGGGGCCAGGCTGTTTGGTTTCCCTCTGTGGCCATGTGGTCGCTGTCCCCGCAGCACGTGTTCTGTGAGGAGTGCCTCTGCCTGTGGCTGGACCGCGAGCGCACCTGCCCACTCTGCCGCTCGGTCACCGTGGACACGCTGCGCTGCTGGAAGGACGGGGCCACCTCGGCGCACTTTCAAGTGTACTAGGTCCAGAACTTGAGGATGCCTGAGGGCCAGCATCCAAGGTCCTGTTTCTGCAAAACAATCTCCAGCCCCAAGGTCAGCCTCCTGCCAGCTCCAGCCCCAGGGCCAGTCCTGGGCCTCCGCCTCCTCCTCTCTTCCTCCCTTGTTCCGAAGGATAATGTGAGCACCTTCCCTCCAAAAAGGGAGGCCTCCTCCTGCAATGAGCCTGCCCTAGGTAGGTCATCTGACCCCTCCCAGTCAAGGAATCTGCAACACAGGAAGTTCTCCCCTTCTGTCAACCTAGTACCAAGTTCCTACTACTCAGTGCTGCAAATTGGGGAGGAGCATAGCAGGCCCTGCCTCTCCACGGGGCCCGGGCCTGCAGCATCCCTGTGAAGGATTTGCAAAGTCCAAGCTGCCATCTACACTGATTAGCTTAATGGTCCAACCACTTAACATGTGCCAGGCACAGCCTCGAGCATCCAGCTTGGCTCACTTCCGGTCATCTTTACCAGAGTCTTGTCACACAGGTACTCTTGGCCCGCCTCCATTTGACAGATGAGGAAACTGAGGCACCAAGTATAGTGTAGGAACTTTCCCCAGGGTCACCCAACTGGTGAGGGCTGGCTGAGCCTCCAACATGGCCATGGTCTGGCATCAGAGTCCGCTGAGGCTGCAGGTGTGGGACCCAGCAGACCTGAGAGACTGAAAGCATGACAGGTGGTTTCGCTGCCCCTCCCTTAAGCCTTTGGGGCCTTGCTGGGTGCAGTGGCTCCTGCCTGTATACCCCGCACTTGGGAAGCTGAGGCAGGATTGGGATTTTGAAGCCAGTTTGGACTACATAGAAGGACCCTGTCTCCAATACAACAACAGTAACAAAAAGACTAGCACAGGGGTATGGAACATTGGGTGTGCACTGCACTGGGAAAGTGAGCCGGGCACACCAGCTCCTGCAATCCACTTGTGCCTGGGCCCCTGGAAAGACTTCTTCCTGCAAATTCTTGTCCTGGGGCCTGGCAGCCATGCCCAATGCCATTTGGGTTCAAGAAGGAATGATTTGGCCCAGATGTGAGGTCACTCAGTGCCCCATCCCTGTTTCTTTTCTCCTCCTTCTTTCCTGTCCTCTCCCTTGCTTGTGTCTCAAGCTTCTGTGGACATGCCTGTCTCCCCCAGGAGGGTCCCGAGCAAAAGGGACAATCCATTGCTGCCTGAGTCAGGGTGGTGGTGGTGTGGAGCACAGCACAAGCCATGTTTTGCGATCTCTGTGACAAAGCTGTTTGTCCACCCGTGCAACTCCTGCTTGGAAATCTGGGCTATGATGGCACAGGTGACACAGAAGCCACTGGAACCTTGCCCATCCTACCCATCTCCCGGTTCTGTTCCCTCATTGGCAACCTCAGCCACAGCGGCCTGGCACCAGCCTCATTACAGAGAAAGCCTCTGTCTGACTGGTGAGCAGATTAGCATGCCAGCCCTGGGGCACAGAGTGGAGCCTTGCTCTCCCCCCACTCCTGTAAATGCAGGACATTTGTCCCTGTGTGCCACCATGCCAGGACTTCATCTTTTGCTTGACATCCTTGGCTCTTTCCTGGTGCCCAGCAAGACACCCCTTCCAGGGCAGCATGGCATCTTTCAAGCTCTGTTACTATGGTGATGGCCGTGATGTTAACAATCCTGTTTGCCTGGATAATCAAGCAGGAAGGGGAAGCAGAGGGAAACATCCAGGTACATTCGGCTGCTCTGTCCCCTCCACCTTCTCCGAAGGGAAGCTACAGGCACTTGCACCCCTGGTTCTTCCCAGAGAGAAGTTCTTCCCACTAGCCCTGTCAGGAGCAAGGGACAGGAGCTGGCCAGGACTTACTGGGGAGGGTCAGCACTGGATGGAGAAGACAGAGCGGCCGGTTGGGAGTCACACCTGGAACCCTGACTGCAAACTCCTGGCTGTGTGACTGTGGGAAGTCCCTTTACCTGCTGTCACCATCACTGAGCTGACAAAAGCTGGTGTGTTGTTTGCTGCAGCCAAGGCAACCAACAGTGTGGGTTACTGGTGAACACACCCATGGTTTTGCCAATTATACCCAGGCCAGCAAAGGAAACGCCCCCTTAACATGTGGCAGATAATGAGCCATGCCTCTGACTCTATAAAGAACATCACCTGTGGGGCACCTCTGGGGCAGGTGGGATGGTATTTATTCATTCCCTACCCTCCAGGGAAACTTGGCATCTGGGGATTTTCTTCTGGGTGGGAAGCTTTTTCTTCCTCCAGGGCGGGCAGAGGCTTCAGAAGAGATTCCAAGTACTACCCTGCACCAATTCCCCTATGCTGGAGTGAAAGCAGCCAACAAGCCCTGCAGAAATGGAACAATGTCACTGTCCTTTACCCGCGTGCCCTGCCACACATTATAAACAGGATTAATCATGTATCAGGTTCCGAGCACCCTGCTCCTAATGTTTCATGATGCACTGAGTCACAGAGTCCTCAGAAATAGAGTCCTGTGTACCCGAGAGTCATCGGTGTACCAGAATAAGGCACACGCCGGACTTGGATCCAGAGAGGAGGTTGTGTGGAACGTCAAGGACATCCCAGCTCCCCAGGAGGACATGTGACAATCCTGGGGTCTTGTAATGCTTCCTTCTGGGGCCAGCAGCTGCCGCCAGTGTCTTTGTGTCTCCTTAAGTACCCTCTGTCGATAAATGTCATCTGTTGATGGAACCCATGTGTGTGTCTTATTATCTTGTCACTTCTTGAAGGCAAGCGGCACTGCTTCAGGTGAAACAGAAAGCAGAGCTTTGTGGAGGGGATCATGAGCTGCTGTCCGTTCCTCCCAGAGCAGAGCTGGCGGAGGTGCGAGGGGTGTGTGACTTCCTAGGGCTGAGGGAAAGAGCAGGCCAGGGGAGGAAACCGAGATAGACACAGAAATACACCAGCCAAGCTGGGATGGTGGCGCATGCCTACAATCTCAGCCCTTGGAAGGATGAGGCCATGAGTTCAAGGCCAGCCTGGGTTCCATAGTGAGTTCAAGGCTGGTCTGAACTACATAGCAAGACCCAGTCAAACAAAACAAAACCAAACCCTCCAGCCTGTCCTTGGCTCCAGGTTGGTAGGGATGGGCTTGGCATTTCAGGCTGTCCACTGGGGGTGGCCCCCGTGTCCAAGCAGGGACCCCTGGGACTTCAGTTGCCAACAAGGCACACTGCTACTGGATGGGAACACAGAATTGGCAGGAGGCATCAGGAAGCCTCAGAGGGGCCCTTACACTGTTACCCCTGGGGCTGCCACTCAGTTGTGCGGGCCCAGTACAGGTTGATTCAAGAAGGGTTTGCCTGGGTGCCAGATTGTGGTGGTATTTAGGCATAAATTATTAGCATGAGTTGAGAACTCTCTGCTTCTCATAGTAGCATGGTGATACTTACCACAAAACATCACTCGACAAAACTTTTTGGTTGCCATTATTGGAAAACCAATTCAGGGGCTGGGGATTTAGCTCAGCAGCATAAGCACCTGTCTTGCAAGTGTGCCGTCGTGAGTTCAGTCCCTGGTACCAATAAAAACAAAAGACAAAAAAAAAAAAAAAAAAAGAAAAAGAAAGAAAGAAAACCAATTCAAATCTGCCTTAGATATTAAAGGGCTTTATTTGATTCCTGTGATCCTGTGGGCTTCCAGTCCAGCTGAACACGGGTGGCTACAGTTATGCTGTGGAATCCTGTGTCTCCGTCCCTCACTTCTGTTTTCCCCTGAGACAGCCGGGTCACAGGTGATGGCAAGATGACCCTACAGCTCTGTGCTCATCTTCCAACAGCTTAATGACCTCAGCAAAGCTTTTACATCTCCAAAGGTCAGGCCAGCATCCTAAGGCTGTCATTTATTTGTCTCTGGACCGGTTACTGTAGAGTCTGTGGGATGTGACATGTTGGCCTGGATCAGGTGTTGTGCCTTGGTGGTGAGGACAGAGGTGAGTGGGAGGCTGGTGTCAGCCCCGTCAAGCCACCCGGACTGGGTTGGGTCTCCAAAGGAAAAGGGGAGGTCTGGTATCTTTCAAAACAAGCTGTCCTTGACCTACTGTTCTTAGGGAGAGACTTGAACCTGGTCTCTGAATAATGTCTTAGACCAAGAGAATGCAAAACCCAAGCAAGGGTGATCTATTTAATGTGTGTAAGTCATGGTTTTGTGCACTGATTTAAGCATTTCCTCCCAACCTGTTGCTTAGCCCAGGGGCACCATTTAAGTGGTGTGGAGAGGGGTTCTCAGGACTTAGAGAAGGCGGTAAGTGGGTGACCTTCTGCTGCAGGGAAGGTCGGGGTGTGGAGGACCCACGCTTCTGTTTCAGTGATCCACCAGAACTGCCCTATGGTCTTTGAGGCCTGGCCTTCCCAACGAAAACAAAGACACAAAAACCTTTGGCTAGAAGTGCACAATCAATTTTTTAATAAAATCATTACAAATATGTACAAAGCATTTCCAAGGTATGAAATTCCTCTTACAAAAGAGCACAATGAACCAACAACGTCAGAACCCAGAACGGAATGTCCTCAAGCTTATTGCCTCTCTGGCTGGGCCAGGGGCCCCACCGAGGTTCCCAGTACCCACACACCATTCCTGCCACGCACTCGGGCTCCCTGGCGCTTATAGTGCAAAAGACCTAGGGGAAGGACTTGGGGGGCTCAAACGGGGAGAGAAGGCAGGAGAGAAGAAAGAAAAGCTTCCCACCTATGCAGTGGTCAGGCAGGCCCTGTTTGCAAATTAGATACTCCTGCCCCAGACCACAGGAACCAAGAACACAAAGGAGAGGGGGTGTGTCCACAAAATCCCCCACAAAACCAGCCTGCGCTCGAGCGTCCCCAAATGTGACATCTTTCCAGTGGGCCTAAGTCAGACTCCCAGTTGCCTGCTGGGCCATCCATATGTACTGCTCTTGACCGAGGGATGCTTGCCCTTGACCTAGCAGGGCTGTGGTCCACCTCACAAAGAGATCCAATGTAACACAGCAGCAGTGCTTGAGCTTGGGGAGGTCATACAGACTTGGACCCAAACCCTGGCTCAGCCACATCACTCTTGGGGAAGACTTAGACCACACTGCTTAAACTCTTGGAGCCTGAGCTCTCAAGTGGAACTAACCAGAGGATCAGCTAGAGTGGGGTGTGCAGAATCCCAAGGGAGCGGGTGTGCAAAGCACTTTCCACAGTGCTCCATGACAGCCGGCTCTCTGGAAAGGGAAGTCTGAATCACTGAATAAGGTGGCGGGGACCAGTCCACATGCTGGGAATGAGTCGGGAAGGCTGATAGCGTGGCACACAGTAAATACTATATAACAATCTGCCAGCAAGGCTTGGGGTCACAGTGGTGACCTGACAAATCTGTGAAAAATTGTGAACCAGACTGGAAAGGAATATTTCACATCATCTGGTTCCAAGCAGGACTGCCCCTTCCCGGTCAATAAGTCAGTCTCTTCTGAGATTCAATTCTACAACCTGGCACCCTATAGATAAATATGCTCAATAAACAGTCGTTGAGTGAATCAATTTGGTTTTTAAAAATAAACTTTCAGCTTAAGCTTTGAAATGACACTTTGACAACATCGGCTTCCTCCCTCCAAGGAGGTTCTCTGTTTGGCTCCCACAGGACTCACTGGTATCTAACGTGCCTGCACTCTCGTTCCCTAACCAACTTCTACCCTCTGGTTCCCCTGGGTTGACTTAAGGGAGTTTTCAGAGAAGAAATTGGCATCCACACAGAACAACATAATCTGTATTCTGGTCACGGCAGCTTCTAACATCAAGTGGACTCTCCAAAAAGTCCACAGCGCTGCTCCAGTGTCCCCAAAAGACACTTGTGCAGGAGGAGGATGCCTGGACTCTCTCAGTTGGTTTCCCAGCAGGGGAGGATGATATTTGTCAATGTCAGAAATACGACAAGAGAGAAGACTACATGAGCTCAGCTACATAAATCGTAAAACCCGTCACAGCTTCATTGTTCTGTGACAGTATTGTTTAAATCACCATTTTCCCCATATCAAAATAGTAAAGAAACAAAATGAGGCCACTGAGAGATGTGGAAAGGAAATCTCCAGTATGCCGATGAAGGGGAAGGTGGGGCCGGGACTGGGATTGTCTTGAGGTGCCCCAGACCTAGGACCATGGACAGCGGCCAGTGGGGCCAGTGGGCGCCCCAAGAAATTTACTCAAACTACATCTATGACATTGGAAACAGGAAATGAAGCAGCATACCTGGAAAACTGTTGTTTATGGGGGGTGGGGTGCAGAAGAGAGGCTTCCAGAAGGGAATGGATCGTATCTGGAAGGCGTGGGGTCCCACAGGGCTTCAGTCCCCCTGGCCCAGAGCCCCACCCTGTAAGAGCAAGCAGCACCTGAGGAATGAGGAGGGAAGGGACCCCCCACCTCATTATGCAGCCAGCTACCTAAGCGATGATCTCAGAGGCACCCTTCTGCTTCGCACGGACACACACACACACACACGCGCGCACACACACACACACACACACACACACACACTGCTGTCTGCTGAAACCCGATATGAGGTCTTTTTTAAAATTTATTTCAAAGCCTCCCTCCCTCCCTCTCTGTCTCCCTTCACAGCCGCTCTGCAGTGAAGCTAATCAAAATCAATGACTCCTTGGCAGCCAGAGGGAAGGGGTGGGGGGTGCCAGCACTTTGCACACTGGGGAAATCTTTTTTTAAAAAACACACACAAAAAAACCCATCCCACTATCTCATGCGATCCAAGTAATGCAACAGGAGAGACAGCGGAGACAGTATATACATATATATATCATGCTTCAATTTTCTAATACAAATGTCCATCGAGAAGTCAAATCTCATATAAAAACAAGCATTAAAAACAACCCCTTGTCAAAAATCGGGGCAGTTGAGAAGTGCACTCAAATTAAGAATATGCAAGAAAGAGGCAGGGTTTGATAAACACACAGTTTCCAATAATACATGAGAATATGTACAAGGGACTTGGCTGTAGAGCTCCCTCGGGAGGCCTTGGGTGCCCAGTTCTCTCAGCAATGTGGCTTCATTGAAATCGAAATTGCCCCCAACGCCAACCCCGCGTTTGGAGTTTGGATCCTCCAGGGGAAATGTCATCAACTAGCACACAAGTCAGGGCAGGGGAGAGAAAAATGGGATCCTCTGACTTTCACCCTTTCCTTGGGTCTCGAGGGGCCAGCGCGCAGCCCCACCTCAATCTTAAAGGTACAGCCTTAAAGGAGTAGAGAACTGCACAGCTGTAGTAATGGGAACCCTGTCCCCAGAAAATGGGTCAGTTGTCACTAGCTAGAAAAGGACACAAATGCAAGCAGAGACCATTCCAGTGAGTCTGCCCCCTCTTAGGTCCCTGCCTCGGTGGGCCCATCGGCTGCCCCCTCTGCAGCCCCTGCCTGCTCACTGGTCCCTTGCAACCATCGCCTGGGGGGAGGCTCCAGTGATGTAGGGGACACACTTTCTAAGAAACCAGCTTTTTTGCTTTGCTGAGTTCAGCTGGGGGCGGAGGGGTGCATTCGGAAGTTGGGTGCAGGGTGTCTCCATGCTTTCTGGCAGTTCTGGGTTGCATTTTTTTTTTGAAAGGACTCTTTAGGCAAACATTAGGCATGCATTAAAAAATAGCAAAAGAGGAAGAGAAAAGGAGAAAGAGCTCCAGCTCTCAGCTTGCAGCAACCCTGACAGGAGGTACGGGCTTGAGGACCCAGTGGTTTTCAGCAAGGGATCATTCATCCCCCTTTAGCCCCCTGTGCTGTAACACCTGCTGCTCCTGCCGCTCGTTTAATAAACAAAAAGTCTGCCTCCCAGTCCAGCGTGCCCCTTGGTGCCTAGGCGCTGGCTGGTGACCTGCAAAGTCAGCCTTGTGAGTGACTGAGTCTGCACCCCCACCCTGCCACCTCAGCCTTGAAAATGGCAGCGACTGTGTGTGGTACTCTGCCTGCACAGAGAAATAATACCTGCTTTTCTTCCATTTTTAAAAAAGAAAGAAAAAAAAAAATAGTCGTAGCTCCCTGGAGAGTCTCTGCAGCCAAGTCTCAGTCCAGCACACATTTTTTTTTTTTTTTTAGCCCTTCTAGAAACTTCTGAAAATAGTAGCTTATCCTGGCGTGCACAGGGAGAGGGGGAGGTTAAAACCTCTGAAAGTCAGTGAGATGTTGGTACATTTCATCTCAATGCCCCGTCCCTCCCCCAGTGTCCCTTGCTTATAAATCACTCTCCAACAGAATGTAGCCATTTCTTGGCTCTCTAACCCATAAAACCTAAGTCCTGACACCTCCCGAGGAGCAGGGGAGGCCATGGGCTGAACTGTCAGGGTACTTCTGCAGGGGCGGAGGAGATAGCTCTCGGCCAGCCTGCCCCGCTTCTCCTCCCTCCTGACCCCAGGGCTTACTCCCCACCACCTCTGGGCATGCACCCCACCTAGAGAAAGAGAAGTGGCACTTTTTTGAATCATCCCTTTTTAAAAAAAATGTGAAACAGCAAAATAGAGATCTCTCTCGTCCCCCTGGCCTTCTAGGTCTGTCAACAGAAGACCACGGCAGCGCCAGGAAAAACACACTTAGCACCAGCAAAATTGAAAGTGAAGCACCAGAGACACCAGATTGGTAGGAGGGGAGAAAAAAAATCCCATTTCTCTGATCGTGACAGTGGGATCTAGCAACCTATCTCGACGAGGAGAGAGAAAGAGAGGCTAGGACCTGTCAAGAAACGGAAGTGTCCCAGAATGCCCCTACAGAGATGGCCCCAGGTCCTCACTTGCTTGTTCTCCTGGCTTGCCTTTTGCAGTTTACCTCTTATTCCACCAGCATCTATGCCCAGGCAATTGGAAGATGCTGGGGCTAATCCCCACCAGTCTTTGCAAATTTCCTAGGTACACAGCAGCGGGCATCTCTCTTCTGGTGCCCCAGACATTACAAAGTATCAGAGTTCACATCGCAAGGTGCAGAAAGGGAAAGGACCAGGTCCTCGACAAGGCATGCACTGATACGTAATATTCATATTTTCTCTTTTTGTTGTATATATAGAGCTATACGGAAATAGCATTGGGGTATCTGTTTCTGCAGCTGGCTCTCCCAAGGGTTTCCCCAGTCCCATTCCGTGTTTCTACTATCGCTCCAGGTGCCGTCTTTAGCCTCCACTTCCTTCTCGAAGTGCCAACCGCGGCATTTCAAGCTCTGGGCTCCCCCTCAGGAAAACGGGAACCAGCTTTCTCCAAGGACACAGGGTTTCACCAACCTGCAGAAATAAAGATACGCGTCTTGGTCAGTGTGAACAGTTGCTGGGGTGACATCAGAGCCATGGGCTCTGCACAGACAGCCTGGGGTCAGGTGTCAAGAGCTGCTAGGTTCTCTGACTTTGGAAAGGAAAAGGTTTCTCCAAACCTAAGCTAGTGCTCCTCTCCCACCCCCAGAAGTAGCAGTCTCCCCAATATGGACATTCGTGCATACACATATACACCTCAGTTTTCAAACATGGATATTGAGCGGCGGCGGAGGGTTGCCACGCTAGGAGCCACGCGGTCGGGAGTGAGGACGGTGAAGGTGGCCAAAGCTCAGCCATGGCTCGAGGTCCCAAGAAGCATCTGAAGCGAGTGGCAGCTCCAAAGCATTGGATGCTGGATAAATTGACCGGTGTGTTTGCTCCTCGACCATCCACCGGTCCCCATAAGCTGAGAGAATGTCTGCCTCTCATCATCTTCCTAAGGAACAGACTCAAGTATGCCCTGACAGGGGATGAAGTAAAGAAGATTTGCATGCAGCGCTTCATTAAGATCGATGGCAAAGTCCGAACTGATATAACCTACCCTGCTGGCTTTATGGATGTCATCAGCATTGACAAGACAGGAGAGCATTTTCGTCTGATCTATGACACCAAGGGTCGCTTTGCTGTTCATCGTATTACACCTGAGGAAGCCAAGTACAAGTTGTGCAAAGTGAGGAAGATCTTTGTGGGCACCAAAGGAATCCCTCATCTGGTGACCCACGATGCTCGTACCATTCGCTACCCTGACCCCCTCATCAAGGTGAATGATACCATCCAGATTGATTTGGCATCTGGCAAGATCACTGATTTCATCAAGTTCGACACTGGTAACCTGTGTATGGTGACCGGAGGTGCTAACTTGGGAAGAATTGGTGTGATCACCAACAGAGAGAAGCATCCTGGCTCTTTTGATGTGGTTCACGTGAAAGATGCCAACGGCAACAGCTTTGCCACCAGGCTTTCCAACATTTTCGTCATCGGCAAAGGCAACAAGCCGTGGATTTCTCTTCCACGAGGAAAAGGAATCCGCCTCACCATTGCTGAAGAGAGAGATAAGAGGCTGGCGGCCAAACAGAGCAGTGGGTGAAATGGTTTCTAGATGATATGTTGGTGAGGTCTCTGCTTAATTAAAGATAATAGAGCATGATTTAAAAAAAAAAAAAAAAAAAAACAAACATGGATATTTACGTGGGTGTCTTCTGAGATTTTTATTAAAAGAAAGAATCTAGAGCTATATTGACTTTTTGCTCCTCCAATTTAGGTACAACTTTTTTCATCTATTTATTTCATGGATTCATATTCAAAGCAGAGTTGTAGACTGTCTCTGCTCTTTGTTAATTTTCTTGTTCATCCATGCACGCACCAATGCATCCCAAGCACCATGCGAGGTGCTCTACAGCCTATTTATACCTTCATTCTTGCCCTTGAAGATCTCAGGGGCCAACAGCTGGAGACAGGGAAGCACTGTGATGCAAGCTCGCCTGGTGAGCAGGTGCAGTGGTGGGAAACATGGGCTGTGGGAGCCTTAGGGAGTCACAGCTCCCGAGGGAAAGAGGAAGCCAGAGGACACTTCCAGAGAAAGAGCCAGGTACCTGCTGAGAATTGAAGGATGCCAGGGAGCTAACCAAAATAAGATGTGCAATCCAGGCATGGCAGAATCCAGGCATACCCAAGAATGTCGAAAACATACATCCGCCAAAACTTGCACACACACGTTTGTTCATGGCGGTATTATTCACAATCACTCCAAAGCAGAAACAACCCTGATATTGCAGACGATTAACAGATAAAGACTATCTATGCAATGGAATATTATTTGGAATGAGATACTACCGATACCTTGTACAAGACAGGTGAACCTCAAAAACGCTACGCTCCATAGAAGCCAGATGCTAAAAGACAATTATTATATTATTCTGTTCATAAGAAATGTCCAAAATAGACAGTTCTTGAAGCCTGGAAGCTGGATGATGGTTACTTATATTTGAGGGAATAGGAAAAAAAAAAAAAAAAAAAACAGGGGAGTGACTACTATCGGGTACAGCAATTCTTTTAAATTCTTTTAGGAAAATGAAAATATTCCAAAATTGATAATGGCACAGTAAATATACTAAAATATGGAATATATTACAAAATAAAAAACACTGATTTGCACCTCTTCTAAGAATGGGTTTTATGGTTATAAGCTTGCAAGGGAGTTAAAAAACAAAAAACATTTCACACATCCCTCTGAAAGAAGTGGTATATAAAGCTTCACAGAGTAATACAGCTAAACGGTATCCTGGAGAATGCAGGATATTACTTCCGGGTTGGAAAGCACCCTGGACATAGACTTGTAAGAACTGAACCACCAGCTTCCTTGGCCCCTGGTTTTGACCAATGGAGGAACAAATGGAAAGTAAGATGCTGGATATTTATTCCCCAGCTCTCTCCCTGCTGGCCACTGATTGGTCGTAGCACCTGCCAGGCAGCGACAGCCCCCTCCCAGCTCCCCTCTGATGCCAACCCTGGGTGCTGTATTGTCTCTTACTGCATTCCTAAATCCTGCCCACTCTGGAACTCTGGAACTCTCTTCCGATGACTCAATTGAGGGCTCCCCCCGCCTCTTACTTGGACACTGACTAACAATCTGACTGTGCGGAAGAGATGAGTCATAAACACATGGTCCCCCACAATCTACATTAGGTGACAGTCACAAGGATCCAAACTAGTGACCACAAAGCTCTTCTTAGTGACCCGCTGAGATAAGAGACAAAAGACCCCTGAAGCCTGCCTATGTCCAAGCTCTCTGTCACCCCTCAAGGGCACAAGCATGGCTGTATGGCCCCCTCAGTTTCCAAAGAAGACTTTGAATCATCAGTCAATTCCACAGATACACACTTGATTTAGTTTATGAAATCAACTTTATAAACTCTAAAAATCTGACTTAGTGGGTTTTTAGCCATAAATCTACAGAGCAAATGTCAGTAGAATCCTGCAGCATTAGTCTGTGACAATTACGCTGCCTTAAGGACAGACAACAAAACTGACGGATGGTAGCTGGGCACAGTAGCACATGCCTATAAGCCCAGCATATTGGAAGGATGAGACAGGAGGATCGCAAGTTTAAGCTCAGTCTCTGCAAATTAGCAGTTTAATGAGATCCTGTCTCAAAAGAAAAAAGAAAAAGAACTGGAGATATAAATCTGTGTGAAATCCCCAGCACTGTGAAAGAATGTTTATTGAGCACCTATTAATACTGATTGTTGTTGAATATGTTGGCTGTGTGCTAACCATTGTCCTCCATACTAGAGGAGGCCACCATTTGCTTCCAGTTTATTGGAGAAGACATGACAGGAAGTACTGGAAATGACCATTGTGCCCAGGTTCTAGCTCAGAAGTCCAGATGGGACTCCATTCACAATGAAGTTTCAGAGAGGATGTGGGACTTTCATGGGGACTTTTCAATTTTTTCCATCCTCCTTTCCAAGGAGAGATCATTGGGGTGAGAAAGGGTCTACACAAGATGGAGAGAAGAGATGCATATGATTCAGAAAACCACAAGGGGGAAAAAACCGCACCAGAAATTCATAGGAACTGAGGCGGTGGCAGCTAATGCTAATGGAACACAGACAACGGCAAACTAGGGCTCCACAGAGCTGGGAGAAACTGTTTCCAAAGCTGTGGTTCACTGCACTCACCAAAGGAACGGCATTTCCTTGCAAAACTAGGTGAGTTCAGCAACTGGCTTCACTTTTCTACCTGTGCATCATTACACTTGAATCTAAGAGTTCCCGTGTGTGTCAGTTAGATTTCCACTACTATAACAAAATACCTGCAATAATCAGCTTAGGAAAAGTTTCATTTGGCTCACGGCTCTGGAGACTTCAGTGCGTGATCAGTTGCCCTCGTTGTCTTGGGGCCTTGGGGACGAACAGCTGAGGGAGAGCAGAGCTGCTCACTGGCCTCCTGGTGGACAGGAAACAGTGAGGAAGGGGAAGGGGCTGGGTCCCAGCACCGCCTCCCATGAGGCCCTGTCTCTTAAAGGTCCCACCACTTTCTCCAGTAACACCACAGGCTGCGGACCATGCCTGTGACACGGGGGGGACTTGGGGCTCATTCATCCAAATCATAGTCCTGGGGCTGCTCCATGGGTGAAGTCTAGAGCCCACTGACTTGTTGGCACAGAGTAGGATCCTCAGTCCAACCTGAGCCCCAGAAACAGCTTTGCACAGCACATGTGCTCCCCACCCTGTGGGTGAAATGTAACCAACCCCCTAGTCAAAGGACGGGCTTGTGCACAGCCTTATGGAGGGATCTTATCTTGTATATCCCCAGCCAGGGATCTGGACACATAATCAGTCACAGGAGCATGCTCGAGAATGTTCTCTCCAATACAAAGAATTAAGGTTCAGTATGGTACACGTTCCTACTGTCTAAGATGAAGACAAACACCACACATTGCCAAAGTGTGCTAATAAAAAGTTTGCTTAAAAAAAAAAAAAAAGAATGTCCTCTCCAGCTTGATCTGTAATGACTGCAGCAATCTAGAAACAATCCATTTGTCTATCGCTAGAAGACTGGATGGATAAATTACACTGCATACATGTTAGACAGACAGAGATGTAGGTGTGTGAGACAGAGTGACAGCTCTGCTTCTTAACCAAAAAAGAACGCACATCAAAAACCTTTCTTCTTCCCTTTAATGAATATGTGCATGTACATACACACACACACGCGCACACATACACACAGGCAGGTTGAGTATTTCTTACCTGAGATGCTTGGAATCAAAAGTTTTGGATTTCAGATTTTTTTCAAATATTACAATATTTGTGTATGCATAATGAGCTATCTTGAAGACTGGATACAAGTCTAAATGCAAAATTCATTTTACACAGTATTTGTAGTACACCTGTGCTTTGACGGTGACCTCGTGTGTGTGTGTGTGTGTGTGTGTATGTGTGTGTGTGTGTGTGTGTGTAAATTTGGCA